GTCCCCATCCCACCCCCTATAACATATGTAAGAACCACTGCGCTATCGTTACTGTGACTCGAGCTATGAATTTCCGGTCAAACACACACACACACCAACAGACACACGCTAGCCGCTTATATATAGTAGGATGAATAAAGAAATGACGGCCTAGCACCCGAGAAATAGGAGTTTATTCCCGCATTGATGCAGTTCTCATCTGTGCTGCCCTCTCAACATTAACGCTCTCTTTGCTAAACGGCTAAGTCAGAGGAGTTACTTATAAGCGGGCGTGCACAAGCGCGAGCGAGGCTGGTACCCTGCTACGCCACTGAGGGCACTCCCTTTCCTGTGGAACGCGCATCGTTTCAATCGAAGAAGGAGAAATATGCCTAGTGGAAGGGCAGGCGGGGGCCCATCTGCCTTTCCACTAGGTATATTTCCGCTTCTCCGACTCCGACTTTACCGACCCTAACCTGGAATCCTCCCCTGAAACAAGAATACACTGAGCCAGACTTCAGATTTATCGGTGGACCAACGGGATTGATCAACCACTGTAGCAAATTCACCGAGGAGGGTCTCTTTGGAGTTTTTGGATGGTGGTAGGGAGGGACAGTATTTTTGGCTCTGTGTATTAATGACGGTAGCAAGAGAACTTGTTTCAAGATTTCTAGAAGGGATTGTGGCGGTGGAAGCATGGAGTACTGCAATGGCGGGTAGAGAGGTCATTTTTAGACGGTTCTTCGAAGGTTTCCTAAAAACTTCAGGAATGAAGCGCAAAATAGAAAAAAATGAGTCAGTCGCCGTTTTCTAGACATATTTACCCGTGTACCGCTCCGCCCGTCCACCCCCGCCTTCGCCACGCACAAGAACCGTTTCAGAGGAATTGTTTCGAATGGTCTGGATCAAATACACACAACAGCAATGGTGGTGAGTGGCTGGTGTTGGGGAGAGGGGGGAAAGATGGTGAGGGAGTCGTACAGATGCCCCCCCAGGCTGACGGGTGATGGGTCTATCGGGGCCCCTCTCGTTAAAGGAGGAATTCACGATAAGAATGAAGGTCGAAGAAGGAGAAACTCACCTAGTTGAGGAGACCCACGGACCTCCTGAGGGTGCGAACTGACGCGCAATTCGCATCGAAAATTTGACCTCGGCGACCTAGCATGGCTCAAAGTTGGCGCGGTCGGCGGGGTCCGCCCATCACTCGCCGCAGGTCTATACGTGGCGAGTGATTAGATAGCAGAGAGAGCGTAGTGTTGAAGAGGGCACAGCGATGAGAGTCGCATCAATGCTCAAATCAACGGGCAAGGAAGGGGTCCCATTTCTCGGGTTCTGGGCCGTTTCTCATGGTTTTTCCTTCTTTCGTGTACCACTCACCATCCCTAGGTTAATTTGAAATGGGTTGCTTTTCATCGTGAATTCGTCCTTGAAGTTTTTAGAATCACCCCAGCTGACGGTCTAGCGCTCAGCTCCACCAGGGTCAACCGTCCGTTGGACAAAGTCCAACGCGACGACGAGAGTAATGCCGAGAGTGAACGTACGCACGGAGACACAGACGGCTCGCGGGTGGCGAGAGTGAATGCCGGCGCGGAGAGCGGTGAACATCGGTCCAACGTCGCTCCAATATCGGTCCAACGTAACGGTTGACCCTGGCTGCACCTGCAACGTGGTTGGCCTCCCAACAGGAGCAAGCGCCCGCTAGGATAGCCTCTACACCCTTTCACCACCCTTCAGCACCAAATCTCACCGCCATGGCCGTTTCTGACGAACTTGATTTTGAGACAAGTTGACACACCTTAGTACCACCCACTTCCGCTCGAGCGGCCATCGAACGGGACTTCATTTAAATAAATCTAAAGAATTTCTCAAATATTACACAGTACGCCCCCTCTCCCTTGCTGAGTATGGTACAGCGCATACTCAACAATGTAGGATTAGGGTGTAAGGAACTCGTTGTGACAACATCCTTTGGGGTACCACTGAATCGCAAAATGCTATCTGCCAAATCTGGTCCTTATGGTTCCTTTTATTATTCAAGCGGCTCGTCCCTATTAGCGATTAGGCTGATGATCTTTCAAGTGATTGCAGCGGCAATAAACAAGGGAGCCTGTAGCAGTACTTTTCAAGCATTATGTGAAGCATCATTCATGAACGGAACTGTGAAGAAATACCTGAAAAGCCGTCCAACCGAGGTCGTATTTGATGTTGCCGAAGAGTTGCCGATGAAGATCCAACGAAGCAGCGATCACCGTGATCACCGTGAAAATCACATTCAAAGCGAAGTTCGTCAAATAGAACACCAAAAATGGACTAAAAACGACAAAATAACTCATAAGTTAAATAATAATGGGGTGAAAACAGTAGGATCGATTGAAATGGTTTTGTTTTGATGGACAAAAATCAAACGTTACACAAAAGCATACCTGAAGAATAGCCTTTCTTTAGCGATGGCCCAGAAAAGTAGGATGTGACAAGGAATACCAACAGTGAATGCGAATATCAGATCGACTGGAAATGCCTTTACATAATGGTGAAACAAAATTCAGCAAAGCAAGATGTTCAAAACTCAAACTGATGTGTAAATTATTTTGAAGCTAGCTCTGAATGGGCGGAGTTTTCTCCTTTGGGCGTAATTGACCTAATCATTTCTTATCAGGAGACTTTCATGTGTGGCAGAGATTAGGAGTACACCGATGATCACGATCATTGATTGAAGGGGACGTCTATGTTGACAAATAAGCTGTGTTTACAAGTGGGCGTACTTTTGTAACTTACAAATGCATTACTCGCTTCAACATATACGGGCCCGCCCACAGGTGAGCGTAGTTTGCAAATCTGTCATGCGAGCATAAAATACGCTAGCCAATGAAAAGTATTGCTCCGAGTAGGACTCTTCGCGGAGGCACGGGGTGTGGTATTTTGGGGGAGAGGTCGACACGGCTCGAAGTTGGCTGCTCTCTATGAGCCCTCCTCCCAATCATGCAATCTGTGTTCCAAAGTGACAATAATAGATTCGAAGCAGGGGAGACGTGAATTGGTGAGCGGAGCGTTCTTTGACTGGATATGGTGCAACTTACGTATTTTATACGTTACCAGATTAGTCCCCCGTCAACCGCCGGGACCTTCCTTTCCTGCGCAAGCTTTCTATCCTCCGCTATGGTCCCTTCCTCCTGTGACACCAACACCTCTGGAAGTGACGCGTATGCAACACAATGGTGTTTCATACAGTAGAAGGGACACAATCATGATATGACGGTAGATTTTTCGCTTCCCTTCCTCATCCTCCCTTCCTCTCTCCACTGCCCTCCAGCTGCCACTGCAGCACCATGTGGAATGAACGGAAGTGTGCTAAGCAGGTGTTTATATAGCCCTGAGAGTGTTATCACAACTATCCTGCTACAAAACATTGATATCTCAAATCCTGTAAGCTACCCGATTTGTTAGCGGTTTGTTTATCCCATGAGCTTCCTTCTCACTCACTTCATTTTGCGGACGGACACACATACACACACACATACAGATACACAAACCGACACACAAAGTTAGCGCTTTATAAATAGAAGGCTACGTGGAATAGTAGAAGGGTGAGTGTCAACTTACCTAGTTCTAAATGATCAAGAAACGGATTTCGTCCCATGCCTCTGCTATGATAGAATGTGTACGTTATACAGAAGGCTATCGTCACAGCGAACCCGATTACACCAGCAATATAGGCGCCGACCTGAACAATCAGTCTTATGCTCCCTATAGTGAACGAGTGATTTCAAATATCGTCTGTTCTCGAAAATAAGCAGTCATATGGGGGATAAGTTAAGGGATCGACGGGACGCATAATATTCTCTTTTCTCCTTGGGAAGGGCCACACAGGCAGCTGTTGTCAGAATTTTCAAGCAGTTCAGTTTGCATAAGGATTAAGCTGGGAGGCCAATAGGCACTTTCTTTTGTTAACATTCTTGAGCTCTTGCTTGAGTGCTTCCACACCTCATTGCAAAGGCTCTTCCCCTTGCAAGAGTTGGGATCACTGAAGGCGGTGAACTGTGCCCGAATCCCCCCTCTTATTCAGGTAATAATTACTCCTTATTCATTTTTCTTTATACTTTCGATACCGTTTCGCAATCGCTCGTTTACCTTTTGATTACCTCAAAAACGGATGTATCGATTGTTTTGTTGTTTTTCAGGGGCGAATTAACATCTTCATCTCTTATGTATGGTCATTTCTAAAGTATGTATGTGGTGCCCCTGAATCGATTGAGGTGGGAACCACCAGAACAGAAGAAGAACTGCTAGTCACCTAAAAGCAGCGGGTACGCTAATTTGGTCGCCAATCGAATATGAAACATAGAAGAGGTCCGCAAAATGAGACCCTCAACCTTTCACGTGATTTTTGGGTGCTGGGCGAGTTTTCACGACGGCTGGTATCGTCAACGTCGAACTCTGTTACGCTGCCAGAAAGGCTATAGCGCGGACCCCAAAGGACTGCGGCTGGGAAGGAATAGTCGGGGGTGAAGGAAAGAGAAGGGAGAGTCTTGAAGGGGTAGGGTTTTATATAGCCTCGTGCGCCAGTTGGCGCCACCTTCAGTAGTTTCAATTCCTGCAGGGGAGGGAACTCCCGGGGTGTGCAAATTGTTGCGCTTCCGCTTTCAATCCAGCTCTTTCTGTCAACTGGAATTACTGTGAGCGGCGCGAGCTGTTGCGGAACATCATCCTGTACTGGAATAGACCCTGCCTTTTGCAGGGAGTAAAGGAAAAGAAAATTATCGTGTCAACTGCCTTTAGGTTTTTTTCTATGTATTAATGACGTCAATTACGGGAAAAGTATTACACCTTTCAGGTAGGTTTAGCAGTGCAATATAAATTTTGAAGAAGGAACCTGAGATTGGCCCTCACTCAAGCAGGCCTCCTCACTGGTCCCAGTGGGTAAACCTTCCGTCGGTCAGGGGCTTGCAACCGGTCCAAGTTCTGCGATGTGAGTTGGAACTTTTCTTCGAGAGTGAATCAGTTGTAAATTGTCGGAATCCATCCAATGTGATTAGAATCGTGAAAAGTTGGCTCGAAATTCGTCAGAATAATTAATAGTTATAAAATAAAAACATAAAATTTTAGAGGACTTTTCTTTCGAATAATGTCCTGCCATTCACTCATTCACGGTCTATTGACCTCATTTCTCACCTTTACATGAACGTTCGTACCAAATAATCGAAAAGCCTTGTCATTTTCTCGAAACGTAACAATGTCGGTGCCATCCATCCTGAATGAGCGTTCCTTCAGAACAAATGAAATTCAGATGTTCAGATAAATTCAAAATGGTAAAAACACACTTCCTATTCGTTCAGCTTTCTCAGAGGATTAATTGTTCTTGGGAACATTGAAAGTTCCAGGACTATCATTCCTCAATGGATTCACCACTACTATTGCTTTGGCTATTTCAAAGGCGCGATTTGTTCATTGGACAAGTCCTTCCCGTGAATTGGGTTTCGTATTGCCAAGGCTGGTCACTTTTCCCCACTCATAATGC